AAAAGTTTAATTCAGGCGAACCGAAACAACGCCTGTGAATGCCACCTTCAGCCCGAGCTGAAATCCAACTCCTTGCTCAGCAACGAGACAACTTCAAACACCTATCGGGTAAAGTCAAACGAAGCCAAGGTGAATTCAATGTCACAAATGAACTGAAATATGCTTGCAGACCACAAGGTGAACAGACAGGGAAAACACGACACAGAATTTCCCCTGACAAGCAGGCCCAGGCCCCCTCAACCAAGAGTCCGAACCTGCGAGGGGGGGGCAAGAGCCCACTGTTCACACTTCACCAGCCAGCAACCACAGGGAAATGGGGCAGGGACCCTTGCAGAGGACCACTGCAGACACACACACCGTGTGGCCCCACAGACCCCAACAAGCTGGCCAGAGACAATACAACTGGCAACCTAAATACTGCAGAGGGCCACAACACTTGCCCACCTGCAAAACATGGACTTTTATGCTTGAACTCTGCCCAATGTGACCACACAAGACAGACTATCTGCTCAGGATCACCTCCGGCCTTGAGGCACACAACATCCTGTACCAGCAGTCTGAAACTGTCAAAGCGGATTACAAAAACTACAACAAGCCTGCTGCAGCCAACTCTGAGTCTACGGCAGACGACAGAACAGGCCATGAGGGAGGAAGGCTTCAACTCCAGAACCTTCCCTCCTCCCGAAATCCGCATCACATTGTGAGTCACCACCCAAGCGCCATGGCCTTCCCCCGCACAATGACCACCTGACATCTGCGGAACTCAGCCCATATGGCCTACAGAGGACACAGCGCTGCCTCTATATAAACCAGGTGAGGGTGGGTTGTGTTGGTATCACTGAGAATAAATAGTTTAGTTTAGGAAGCACAGTCATTTTAATTACTGATATTCTGCCCATAATGGATAGTGGTAAGTTCATCCAACGTTGAAGATCATCATTTATTGTTTTGAGTAATGGGGTGAAATTAAGACTAACCAGCTCTGACAGCCTGGGAGAAATATGAATGCCTAAATATGTGATGTGACTGGTGCATAGAGGGATAGGTGATGTCTGGGATGTCACATCCAAGCTATTGTGATCTAATGAAAGAATAGAAGATTTACGCCAATTGACTGAATATTCAGACATGTGAGAAAATGGATCAATAAGTTTAATTGTTTCTTGTAATGATGATGGGGGATCTTGTAAATACAGTAATATGTCATCTGCGTAAAGACTGATTTTGTGCTGTATGTTTAATGTTTGAACTCCTCTGCCAAGTTTCTCCTGGACAGAGAGTTCTTAATCTGCCACTTTCTGTTTATCGGATTTAGCAATTTATGTGTTAACTGGTCAGGGGTATCCCCATCTGGTCCTTGAAAGCCCGTAAAACGCTTTTAAGCACTGTGAAAGTACTGTCTTTTATTAGAGTCTCTTGAGAGATAGCTAAATAGTCCAGGAACTGCTTCAACCCTTCACTGACCCTGCATGAGTTTTACGACCGCAGCTGGTAGCATAGGGGTACTTCAGTTTGTCTCAATGGAATGTAACTGTTTCGTGTGTGTGGCTCCATAGTGTGAGTGGGTCCGTTGTAAGACAGAGATCCTACATCCTGAACGGCCGTTTCAAGAGGGTGCGATTCAGGCATCTGAGATCGAGGATGGGCCGCAGGCCGCCATCCTTCTTGGGGACGAGGAAGTAACGGCTGTAGAAGCCTAACTCGCTCTGAGCTGCAGGAACCGTCTTTATGGCTCCCTTTGCCAGCAGATTTTTCACTTCGGAGCGCAGGACGTGTGCGGGTGATTGGCAGCTTAAGAGAGGCAGCTTGGGGGGTGGTCCAGCTGCAGCGAGACTTGGCCCCCTCCTTTTTCTGTCCCGTAGATCAGGACGACGCCTGAGGCACAGGGTCCAGTGCTATCTTGGGCTGGGCTTCCTGGCGCTTCGGAAAAGGGTAGCGTTTGGCCGAGCGGGAACGTCGTCTAGGCTCAGGCTTGGCTGGCTGGGCGGTGGCGGCAGCCGCAGGCAGGCTTCGCGGATTGCTAAGTCTGCACATACTTGGGGTGACTAGAGACAGCTGCAGAGCTAGACGTTTTGGCAGGAAGTGTCACATGGCTTTGGACGAATTTTGTGCCTCCGTGAAATGCTCAGTGAAGCCTTCGACCGCTGGCCCGAACAGACCGGTGGGGGAGACCGGAGCATCAAGGAAGGGAACCTTGTCGGTGTCCTTGATTTCCGTCTAGGTCAGCCATAAGTGTTGCTCGAGCACCACCAGACTGGCCATGGAACGCCCTATAGCCTGAGCCATAGCTTTGGTGGCCAGACTCGTCTGTGCTGGTGAGGAGTTTGGCCTGGAAGACCTGGAGGAGTGCCATTGAATGAAGCGCCGAGGCCAATTGCCCAGCAAAGGAGTAGGCGTGTCCAGCGAGGGCTGAAGTCGTCCTACACTGCTTGGATGGATGGGTGGTCATTGCCTTCCAGCCGATAGCAGTGGGCGGGCAGAGATGCGCAGCCACTGACTCGTCCAGCAGAGGCAGCTTCTCGTATCCCTTATCTTCAGCGCCGTCCACCTAAGTGAGGGTGGATGAAGCGGAAGTATGGAGACGTGCTTGTGTATGGGACGCGCCACGACCTGGTGAGTTTGTCATGGACCTCCGGGAAAAAAGGAGAGGATCGCTGATGAGGGGCTTGACGGCGTCCTGGAAGGAACCACTTGTCCAGACAGCTGCATGAGGGCTCCTCCGGTGGAAACCACTCCAATCCCAGCTTCTCAAAGGCTTTTGAGAGGACATGGAGTAATTTCGGCGTCCATCCCGGGCTTAACGTCGCTGGGCTCGGACGACTGCAAGGGGGCAGGGGTAGCAGTCGAGTCCGACAGCTCCTCTGTGTCCGAGGCTGCTAATGACATGCTGTCATCCAGCAGCTCGTCATCACTCCCACCGAACGAGACCATTTCTCGGAGACATTTCTGAAGGATCATGTGACTGGAGTAATGATGCTAAAAAATTCAGCTTTGAAATCACAGGAATAAATTACATTGTAAAATACATTCTAATAGAAAGCAGTTATATTAAATAGTAAAAATATTTCACAATATTACTGATTTTGCTGTATTTTGGATCAAATAAATGCAGGCTTGGTGAGCAGAAGAGAATTCTTAAAAAAAACATTCTTAACTAAATCTTACTGTTCTAAAACTTTTGACTGATAGTGTAGCAACTAGCAAGAATGTAGTCAAGATAAAATGCAGTGCAGATGAAATTCTCTTCCAGATGTATTAATTTCGTTTAGATATACACAATATATTTGGGTCGGTGCCTAATGGTTAGAGAGTCGGACTCGTAACCCAAAGGTTGCGGGTTCGAGTCTCGTACCGGCAGGGATTGTAGGTGGGGGGAGTGAATGTACAGCGCCCCCTTCAATACCACGACTGAGGTGCCCTTGAGCAAGGCACCGAACCCCCAACTGCTCCCCGGGCGCCGCAGCATAAATTGCTGCCCACTGCTCTGGGTGTGTGTTCACGGTGTGTGTGTGTTCACTGCTGTGTGTGTGCACTTTGGATGGGATAAATGCAGAGCACTAATTCCTAGTATGGGTCACCATGAAGTGACATTGAAAGTGTTTGTTTTATATATAAAACAAAACTTCCTGTTGAAGAACTTTGCAATAAAATTGTATTTCGGGATTCGTGAGCATGCACATTTCAGCACTGCACTCCTGACTGTCCATTGCGTTCCAGAAATCAACATTGCTCAACCCAGCAAACACGTGTTACTGCCTAAATAGAAACTCTGCCTACGCTTGCGCCTGTTAATCGTTTTATTTTATATTAGTTCTTGTTGCTTTTAATTTATTAATTTGTATACAATAATAGGGCCCTATGAAATTAAAATTTTATTTACTTATTTTTTAGAAATTCTGTGTTGTGTATTGTCATTTTTCTGGTAATCAAATGAAGGCAAAAACATTAAACTATCTTTTATTCCAATGAAAATTAAACAAACCCTTTAATTTTTGTACATTCAAAATGCTACACAACAGTTTACTGTGTAACGAGCAATGTCACGGAATTCGTAAAATATTGAATGAATGAATCAAATGCAATTCAGTACACTTCAATCAAAACGCGATATGGACTAGTGTATGTGAATATTAAATGGCAAAAATACTATTTAGCTACTACAGACGACAACCGCGAGCGTTGCGCGTCCTTCAATAGCAAACTAGCAAACGAAACGCGTGTCTGCGCCGTTCATTCCGTCACATTCTGCGTTACACAGTAAATTCCAACTCTGTTGCGTCGGGGCTCGCGGGAGTGTCTCTAATGCACTTGACTCGACAGTACGTGTGCTACATCCTTTTTACAATCTAGATTATAAAACACTGCATTCTGTCAGCAATGTAACGCGGCAGTAACGTATAGAGACCTAGTCTTGTAACTATACTCTTAATTACTATTTTGAAAATTATAACGCGTTAAATTACTCCGTTACTAAAAAAGTAATCAAATTACAGTAATGCATTTACTGCCCAACACTGTTCACCAGGAAGAATCAGTCTTCAGTTATTTGAGTTTATCTGTTTAATAGTCCAGATCATTAGTCCAGAATGACAAATGTCCAGATCATTTTATCTGTGATTGTACAAGTGTTTAGGGACCTATACGCATTGTTCACTATATTTCTAGGATAGCTTTGCATGATCTGAGCTCAGATCCATTGCCAAAATGCCAAAAGGATTAAAAGGATTTGCCAAAATCCTTTTAATGACCATGATGACCCACTCATGTCCCAGAAATGACTGATTACGATTTCCCAGAGATGACTGACTATGACAGGCTAAACATACTCGGGGAGCAAGTTGATAACATCACTGGCATGAGAGAATAGAAGTTCTGGTCTCAGGCACACAACAAATCCAGAATGCTTCTAAAGAAAACTCTCTTGATTCTATATTTAAATTGAATGTGTGACTTTTCTGACAATTTTTATTTATTTCTTTTTTTTTTAAATTTTGAAATAGGTGGTGTCTGATGCTGCAGGACAAGGCATCACCATCACAGGAGACAAAACCTTCAACAACTGGAATTGGCCCAATGCTGTCATCTTTGCAGCTACAGTTATTACAACTATAGGTATGGATCTAGCTAGTCTATATACGCAGCATGAAAATCAAGCAAATCTGTTTCACTTGGAGAAATAATCAAAGGAAACATTGATTTGCTTAACTGAAAAAATTATCAGGAAATGGTGAATAAAGGACTGCACGATTAATCAAATGCGATTGACATGCATATCTTTCAGTGAAGCAGCTTATCATTTAATGAATCAACTGCCTATCAGCTAATCTTCAACATGTTTTACACTAAACAATACTTTTGTAGAGTTTATAGAGTTTACACTGAAAAAAAATGCTTTATAGGAGAAGTCACTGACTATTTGCGACAGGTGGGATTCAGTTTACGGCACTTCTCATTCATTCCTATGGTATCCGCAAACAGTGATTGAGTGTCGCACAACTCTGACTGAAATGCAATGACGTCAAGGCTGTAATGTGATTGGTTTTTAAGGCACACATGATCCAAGTTGACCGTTACACTTTCTCCAATAGTAAGTAATACAGACCCTCTCATCTCCCAATAGTAAGGCAATCTCTGGTTGTAGTTCACTGACAAGCTACGCAAAACCGCTTTCATAATACGCAGACCGATTTAATCATGTGATTCTGAAATCGATGAAATCCTTCTGCGATTATGAAAGCAGTTTGCGTAGCTTGTCAATGAACTACGGCTCTGTGTAATAAATGCTGCTCCATCTGAACCCGCATCTGTATGCCATGGAGCGTTTACCCGGCAAGTTTGATTCTAGTTCACTGACAAGCTACGCAAAACCGCTTTCATAATCACAGACGATTTAATCGTATGATTGTGAAATCGATGAAATCATTCTATGAAAGCAGTTTGCGTAGCTTGTCAATGAACTACGGCTCTGTGTAATAAATGCTGCTCCATCTGAACCCGCATCTGTATGCCATGGAGCGTTTACCCGGCAAGTTTGATTCGTTTATAGCATGCATTTAAAAAAGCAACATGCGTGAAACATCTTTACACAAACATGAGAAGCATTTCATTGTCCCACAAAACACCACATTTAATAACATGTTTTTATTCCAAACTCACTTAGCATTGCATTATAAATGTACTTTATTATAATAAAAATTATAATAAGAAGAACTCAGATAAAACGTATATTGCCGTAGTCCTGTGTTTATTAATCACGTTGAATCAATGAAAACAGTTCAATCTTCTGTTTCCTGGAACGACATGCATTACCTTTCTTCTGCGGGACATATTTGGAGTTTCAGCGTGAGAGCGCCCTCTGGCCTTCGGATGGAGATTTACTGTTGATCACAGAACCGTGCTTCACTGAAAGACACGACTGACAATCACAGCTTTTGCCTAATCGCAATTGTGATTTCATTTTGATTAATCGTGTAGCCCTAGGTGAATATTTATGCTACAGTCATGTATATTTTTTTCCCACAGAATTGGGAGACTTTTAAGCATTGTTTTCCTCTATGGATACTTAAATTCTGTTTAATACTCAGAGAAATATATGGATGCCATGTCTTAAGATAGAACATGTTGGGTCAAGACTAGCTTAAGACTAGTGCTAGATTAAAATAAATGTTAGAGCTGTCTAAACTGAAAAAAAGCTTGCACTGACATATCTTAAAGTTACACCAGTGCCATTGTTTGGTCTTAAAATGCACACAGGTAATGTTTTTTTGTAAGGAATGTTTGTAAAAACTACTTAAATGCCCTTATTTAACAAAGGCCTAGTCCTGGCTTAATCGAATCCCTATCCGGGAAAACACCCCGTTGTGTTCAGACTGTAATGAGAGAAATTGTTTTACCAAAAATGTTTTATATCTGCAGGTTATGGAAATATTGCACCTAAAACACGTTCAGGGAGGGTTTTCTGTATCTTATATGGTCTTTTTGGAGTGCCGCTGTGTTTCACATGGATCAGTGAACTTGGAAAGTTTTTTGGAGGAAGAGCTAAACACCTTGGGCAATATCTTACTAAGAAAGGGGTAACATTGGTGAGGAATAATCACAAACAACCATTATATTTGAAATCTGAATATCACTAAAATAACAGCTATGAAACTTCTAACTGCCCAATTCTGTGGAAAAAACGCGGACTTGGCAACCCTGCATCCAACAAGCGCTACCGGAGTTAGCTTTGACTGATCACAGGTCGAGAATAAGGAGAGATGACTGACAAGACCATGCTGGAGTATTTGCTGCTCAACAGATTCTGAACTCATTGACAAACATCTGATCTTGTAAGATGTGTTTGCTCCCTTTACACAGAGTGCGTGTGATCGCGAAATCGAAAGTGAAAGTAAACAGCGCAAACGCTCATTCAAAAATATTTAAATACACTGCATCCTGAGAGGGGCTCCCTGATGCGGCAAAATTATACACAATATTAGAATGTTTAAAGGAGTGAACACGAAAATCGCGGGAGCGAAACACATGTTGCAGGAGCAGGCGGCAATGCTCAGAGATTCAGCGGGAGTGGGATTAAGAAAACAGCCGAATCCTGGCCATTTTGGGCAATTAAGAAATCCCGGCGGGACGCATTTTTGTAGGTCCAAAAAGAGGACATGTCCGGGGAAAAGAGGAAGTATGGTCACCCTAATTTATTGCTAATTGATGTTTTCTTTTTAAAGTAGCATATAGAACATATTTTCTGCCTCATTGCGGTGTGCCAAAGATGTAGGCTAGTAGGTAGTTGTGAGTGCAGGTGCGAAGTAAATTAATATTTATGAGATAAACTAATATTTCAGGTGTAGGTTGCAGAATTTATGCCTACATTTAATAGTGGTCTGCGCTTGTCTACAATGCATTCTTCCCATGCTGCAGTGCATCGCGCAGATTTGCCACAGAGATTTTAATAGGTGGTTATCTATAATAACTCAGGCGGTGTGCCAAAGATGTAGGCTAGGTAGTTGTGAGTGCAGCGGAGGACTCTTATTATGTTTTTTTTAGGACTATGAAATGTTTGGTTGACCAATCAGCGGAGAGTGGCGTTTCATTCCCGCCCACATCTAGAGATTGAATATTCAACTTGCTTATTCATTTTCTATCCCTGAACTTAAAAACGAAAAATGAAGCCAAATTCTTGAAAGATGTGTTGGATTTGTATTATTAGAGCTTTCCGACTTGAGTTCACGTGCATTTTCTCAGTCGGGAAATTATTTTTCACGTGCGGTGCCAATGATGATGCTTCTTACGCCCGTTTCGGAGAACCAGAAATGAGGCACCGAAATCTGCGTTCGGATTCGGTTCTAGTACATACCGGTTACATAGGTTCCCAAACCAGGCTAAAATGTTTTTCGTCAGGATGCTCTTAGTGGTGCAGGTTTAAAAGCTCCTGAGCACCTTAGAGGGCGGTTTAAAAATTATTCTATCACCTGAAGTGGAACAGACGCTCACAGGCCTTCTTCACAAGGGTCTTGATGTTACAGGACTATGTCAGGTCATTAACATAATGTGCTAAACATGTTAGCAACAATGTTAAATTATTATCTATGCCTACATAGCCTGCCTGATTTTCTTACTGCATTTATATAACCATCAAACTTTAAACCTTTTTTCAAAAAGATTTGTCAAGCCACCATCAAAGTTTGTCCTGTCAAGCTTTACTTCTCTAAGATATACACAAACAGCCATATTAAACTCAACAATGGTCTAGTCACTTTTGGGAAAATCAGTGTCTCCAAGTGTAGGCATATAGGCATATTAGAGTTAATCATAAATGTATAAATTGTACATTTTTGACAGATTTTGATATAAATTTGCTAACTATTTTCACTGTCTGTTTTGTTTAGGTGTTGACCCCAATGCTGACTACCCTACTCTGTATCGGTACTTTGTAGAGGTGTGGATTTATCTTGGTCTGGCATGGCTGTCTTTGTTTTTCAATTGGAAGGTGCGCATGGTTGTGGAGGCTCACAAAGCTCTAAAGAAACATCGTAAAAGGCGCAAACTTTCTCTGGATGAGTTACAGCGCATCAAGGCAAGTCACAAGACCCTACATCTGCCACCAACTCCCAATGATGTCAACATCTTTAGCTTCCTGTCCAAGAAAAAAGAAGATTACAATGACTTAATCAAGCAGATAGGTGTTGAGAAGGAAGGAGAAGATCAATGTGTCGGCTTCATCACTGGAAGCAAGAATAAAGCACCAAACCGCTCAAAGAGCTGCAGTGATAGTCATTCCATTAATGGAAATTACATTATCAGTCTAGACCGCTCACCTCGACAGAAACGCCACTATAGCTTCAGTGATAGAGTTAATGTAGCTCTCTCAAAATCCAAGAGTTACCTTCTTAGCCAAGAGGAATGTCTTCTCATGAATGAAATGCATGGGGAAGGAGAGACAGACACTGACCTAGACAGTATAAGAATGTATGAGAATCAGTTGGACAAGGAGGCAGGAGAGAAACACAAATGTCTAGAACATGGAGGATGCAGCGATGGCCGGATCACATGGGACTCCAAAAGTTACCAGCCCCTCATGTTTCCCAATGCCAACATTACCTTTATTGATGAAGAGAATTTGCTAAACAACAACCTGGAGAATGATGATAATGACTTTATGCCTAAGTTTTCAACTGCTGATGAGACCGATTTCAAAGAGGAACAAGGCTCGGAATCTGAGACCTCCGTATTCACCACAGATGGGTCGGACCATGGCCACTCCTATGAACAGCTGGTGGAAGAGTATTCCAAAGAGGACAACACTGACATTTGATTCTGTCTCCTTTCTTAAACCTCAGTAAAGTTTTGTTTCATGAAAAACCCGAAATGATGGTGAAAACTATAGAAATATAAGGTTTTACACACAGCCCTTTTCCCAATCACTCCTTTCAAATGTGATTTTGCATAACCATTTCTTTTTTTTTTTTTTTTTTTTGCAAGTGATACAACAGATGTGTCTAAACTGGATCATTAACAATGCATATTCACTGCATGTTTTTCCCACCATATTGGTGGATGTTTTTTTCTTTCTTTTTTAGATAGAAAAAAATACTGTCAATTTGTCAAAGCTTAATCCGTATTGGATGTTAAACATATTTTTATTGTCTTCTATTTTAGCCCAAGATATTTTTTTTGGGGGGTAACCATGTTGACCTTTTAGATTTTAACTTTTTTTTAAAAATGTTATGTCATTATTTGACTTTTTAATATTGCGATTTTTATTCCAAGTCTCTTTTTTTATGCAGGCATTGTTTTAATGTCCCTAAATTGTGTTGTTAACTCAGTTCAGAAGATCATAAATATTGAGATTATATTTGGAAATGTCAATACGATGATAATCCACACTGAAAAACTCTATGGGCTTTCCTCTGTGTCCCTGTCAAGTCAAGAAAATGGGAGTTGAATCGGCCCAAGATAACAGGAAATCAGCCAAGATAACAGGAAATTATTACAGTGTTAGTTTTATTAGTAATGACTGTTTTGGTGTCTGACTCATGTGTTGACATTATGCTGGTTTTCTGTTGACAAAACCAACATACAAAATTATAATTATAATTAAAACCATTATAATACCCCAAGGGGGGGGAATGAAAATCCAAGTTGTGGTTCCCTTCACTAAGCTTTAGCAGTGTGCTTTCTCACATGGTCTTCTTGCGTCATGCCTTTTGTGTGTAGAGAGTTGCATCCTGAGTCAGTTTCCTCTTACAGATGTAATTGTATTTTATAAAACTGCCCTCTTTTATTAATCTTTTGGATTTCTTTTTCTTTCTTTCTTTCTTTCTTTCTAAATGAAAGTTGATTGAACTTACAAATGCATTCTAATTTGCTATGGAATGTATTTGAATAATCATTGGTTTGTGCATCACATGATTACATTTTGCACCAATTTACCTTTCTTCTAATGAGCTTTAGTTTTGTCTTTCGTTCAATCATTCTCCAGTGTACACTTGACCAAGTATAAGGTTCCTTGTTGTGAGCCTGTGTTGTTGATCTGTGCTACATTTGGTTGAATGTTACATTTCAGTTGAACTTTTGCTGTGTCAGTCTCAGTTGTGTACATAGAGGGTTTTCATGAGCTCAAACTTTGAGCAAAATAGAGGCCCACCCCCATTTTCTTGATTACGCTTTTTCAGAGATCTCTTTAACTCTCTTGAGAGAACGGTGTTTCTTAGGTAAACATTGGAAAATGGCCTGTTCGCAGCTGCCACTGTTAATCTTCCTTGTATTCTTTTGTAGCCTCTTTTTAATTAGCTATGAGCTGAATTTCACAAATGATTAAAACCAGAATTTGCATTAGTGGGCAAGGTTAACTTACCTTAGGTTAACCTGTCAAGTCATGGTTTTGTGCTTTGTTCATGTTGCAAACTTTCGTCCCATTCTTTCATAAAGAAAGTACAAACATTTTACCTAAATGATGTAAAGGGTAGAGTGGTTTTGATCGTTTTTAAGATTGTGTTTTGATTTTGAATTTCCTGTACTTTGTCGCTGTATTTCCATATGTATTTTAATTATTTTCTGTTAGTGCTTTTACGCTGTTCCAATTAACATTTTCATTTAGAAATAAACAGGATTCCTGTCTTTTTCTCTCTCATCTTTGAGCAGTGGTTTCAGAAACATACTTGGCCTTCAAAAGTTCAAAGCAAAATTTCTTCTGAAGCAATTGTGAAATAATAGGCATAGCTTATTTTGTCAAAATGGTAGTTTTGTATTTGAGTTTAAATTATACAATGTAAATTATATAAACCTGTTTGTTTATTAAAACTGCAGTATATTAACTTAAAATTGGACTTTATGAGACTTTATTACTTTAGTCAATTTCAGTATACCATTTAAGCAGTAATGATACTAAAAACATGTCTATCTTGCATGATGAGCCATAGTCTCTTCTTTTTTTTTATGGCATTGTGAAGTTACAAACCTTTGTTCGTTCCACGTCATTATATGCTCTCAGTTGTTCTCTGTGTGAATTCTATTTCTAAAACACAAAGGCCACTCATTCAGACTTGATTTTGGGCATAAGGACAGGATGTGAAAATAGGGACATGTGTTTGTTTGTGTGATACAGCATCTAAGGAGTCGATCACTACTTTTCAATCCAGGAAAAGTGCTAGGCTGACAGTGTCCTGAATTTGAATCTTATTACTCATATGCTGAAAAAACTCAGATTAGAGCTTGCATCCCAGCAATACAGTGTGAGGCTACTAGAATTTTGTTCACATGTGCCCAACTGAATAACATGAACTCCTTGTGACCTAAATACACTTCTTTGAGCCCAGAGGCCAGTGTTGCTTAAAATGATCCAGTCCTAGTGAGACTCCACCCTCTTTTCAAACATACTATTATTTTCTCACTAAAAAACTGAGTTAGTTATTTTATTAACTAACACAAGTTATAACTTTAAAAGCTGGAGATAATTGCATTGTATCATGCCAATTCCATCAGAAACATGCCAGCATTGTAATATGAGGCCATAAAACTTTTATGCTGAATTGTAAAACAGACAATCTTGATAAAGACACTCCTCAGAAGTGATAAAGGTTCACAAACAGGGTGGTAAAAATAGTTATTATTTTACATGGAATGATAAATTGTACCTCAAGGAAACATAAAAGTACAACTAAAGGTGTAAAATTGTACTGCAGACAAGATATTTGGTAAATAGATAAAACAGACAAACAGACAATCTTGATAAAGACACTCCTCAGAAGGTTCACAAACAGGGTGGTAAAAATAGTTATTATTTTACATGGAATGATAAATTGTACCTCAAGGAAACATAAAAGTACAACTAAAGGTGTAAAATTGTACTGCAGACAAGATATTTGGTAAATAGAATAGTAACTCCTTTTTTTTCTAGAGCATAAATGTCCAATAGTATTTTACAACTGACATTAGTGCAAAATACAAAAAAGTAAACCATGCTTTGAGGTTCCTAGACAAATTAATATGCAACATACATTTCATACTACATACATAGTTAAAGTAATATTAAGGTAATATTACATAGCTATTTTAATATAATAGAGGAAGTGCTCTCTAATTTATTAAAATACATTTTTAAAAATTAGGATAAAATTTTGAGCAACAAAGTCAGAGATTAAGAATAATTATAAATGTACTGTTATGTCATTAATGCCAAACATTAATCAATAAATCCGAAATTAGAATAATACCAATCAAATTAAACCAATAACAAAATCCATCTTTGTACTGCGGAGTTGACTCATATGCAACTTTTACAGAAGTTTAAAACACTCACTGATGCTCATGAAGGAAAAACGATGCATTAAGTGAAAGGGGTGAAAACTTTTGAACAGAATGGAGATGTGTACATTTAGCTTATTTTGCCTAAATATCATATTTTTTCATTCAGTACTGCCCTTCAGAGGCTACCGAAGATAGTAACATGTTTCCAAGAAGACAAAATAAGTTAAATTTACCCTGATCTTCTAATTCAAAAAGTGAATTTTGAATTCACTTCCCCCCCCGGCTCTTAATGTATGCTTTTTCCCTCTGGAGCATCAGTGAGCGTTTGAACCTTCTGTAATAGTTGCATATGAGTCCCTCGTCTGTCCTCAGTGTGAAAATGTCACAATCTCTGGATGGAGTGCCTGTGAGCTTCGCTAGAGGGCACTCCACTCCAGACTCTTGCCAATTTACTCAGGACTCCATTTCCCATAATCCTGTGCACGGACTCATCAATTGCATCACCTGTCTATCATCAGATCTCATCATCAGTTCACAGCTGTCTCACATTAGGACTTTAAAAGTAGCACACACACTCTGTCTTCGCTGGTGATAGAATGTTTAGCCGTTCCGTGTTTCCTAGTTTCCATGTTCCCAAGTTTTGCCTTTCTCGTGTTTTGATCCTTGGACTGTTACCTTGTTTTTGATTGACTGCTGCCTGCCCTGATCATTGCCTGTCTTGTTGGATTACTTTTTATTTTGCCTGTGCCTTGGATGTTATTGTCTGCTGGTATCTGACCCTGCCTGTCCTGACTACGCTCTTTTTAATAAAGCCTGCTATTGGATCTAGGCCTGTCGCGATAGTCAATATATCGACTTATTGCACGATATATGGAAATGAGCGCGATAATTTTGGTGCCGCGATATATTGCAACTGATCATTATTTTTATAATTAAAAATAATTCCCCAGCGTCCCCCACACACACACAGAGCGGACAGGATTCAAGCTGCGTGTCTTGTTCAGTTACGACAGTCAAGACTATGAAACTCTCTCCGAGAGCGCACAGTAAATTAAGTTTACAACTGTTAAAAGAAAAGACTCAATAAACTACAGAACAGATTTAATACACTACGCATCAATATCTCTTCTCTTTCTGCTTTAAACTTTTCTATGTGAAGCGTTGCTCCAGCCTGTGTGCTGTGACTCCGTGTTGCTTCAAGCTCATCATTCTGCGCACGGGATGCGCATAAGCGCTTTGTGCCGCTCTGGATTGAGCCTTTCATACTGTATTATAATACTTTTGCACATGATAGGACAGAACAAGTCAAGTCAAGTCACCTTTATTTATATAACGCTTTTAACAATACAGATTGTGTCAAAGCAACTGTACAGCATTAATTAGGAAAATATTGTGTCAATAATGCAAAATGATTGCATTTGATTGAGTAAAATGATTGAGTAAAACAGAAAGGCTATTAATAATTTAATGTATAGCACAGTAATGGAGGCAGCAACATATGATAGATAGGACTCCTATCTGTCATATGTTGCTGTCTCATTACTGCTGTGCATTTAAAAGAAATTTATTTTAAGTAGGGATGCACCGATACCGATACTGGTATCGGTATCGGGCCCGATACTGAACTCCTTTACTCGTACTCGTACTCATTAAAATG